ACAGAAGGTTAGGAAGAAGTAAAGGGGCAGAGCAGAATCTCACTAAGACGTTCTAAATAATTATTTCTACATGTTAATTAACAAACACAGAGTCAGATTCTAGTGAAGTGACTCTGAACCAGGTCCCCGTCTGAGTTCAGGTCCCCGTCTGAGTTCAGGTTCCAGCCCAGGAAGTCTACAATTCCAGGTCCATTCCCAAATCCTGCACTCACTCTCTGTCACTGGCAGAAAAGAAATTCATTTATAGTTCTATTATGGAAGGTCAAGCATGTCCAATGTGAGGGTCGGGGCCCACATTTGTAACTTACTCATTCCCTCCTAACGTCAGTGTTGACTGGACTTTGGACATCCAATCACAAGAGGTAAAAACAGGTCGGTCTTTTCATTTGTTCTAAAATGTTTCTGTAGTTTTTCTAAGTGATGAAGAGTCACAGTATTTCAGAGATGATTTAATTTAAAGTCTGGTTTTTGGCCAGTGGTAAATCTGAAACAGCCGACCTCCGACATTCAAACACTCTTCACCAAACAAATCCATTTTGTCAAAGACTTCACACTCGCTGCCGAGTTAAAATGGATCAGAGTCGATGGACGGATGCTAATGGGTTAGCATACCGTCAGCACTTTGTCACCAGGTCGGTACAAGACGCACATCCTCCTCACAGAGGGCAGGCAGGGGCAGTAACCACGGGGCATTAACACGGCCAATCAACCCTGCAGTTGACTGGTGACGCAGGTGAACAACAGTCAACATTTACTGTACATACCTTGAAAAATACTACCACCTTGTGGACGCCAGCAAAGGCAAGCATTGAGGGAGGACAGAAGACAGCATTTAAGACCAAGAGGGGGCGACGGAGAGCAAGCCAATGAAGGGGGGGGGACTGGGGGCTGCAGACGGGTTCATTCATGCAGCTGGTGACACGTGCAGATTGATGATGTAACGATGCATCATGAACAGGTTAAAGAAAAAAAATCGATATAAATGTGTGATCTCAAAAAGTCACTAGTCACACCATGACACCAACAGTGTTCTCCAGTTAACCAGGTCAACCAGACCAGTTTGACCAGTTTGACCAGTTTAATGCTGTTATTTAAGACAATTTCAGTCGATGACGTTGGTAAATCGTATTTTTGTTTGTTTTAATAAAGAAACGTGAGAAAACTGTGATGTGAACAAAAAAAAAAAAAAAAGAGGAATTAAATGCATTGTTACATCCCTGATGCAGACCAGAGTTGGGGGGGTAGTG